AAAAATTATTTAAGATATTTTGCATTTTTTATTTGCATAAAAATTGTATAATTAAGGTATTTATTTAGAACAAAAATATCAGTTTTGGACAAGATGTTTCGTGTAAAATTTACATTAGCATGAAAGGGTTTCACGCAATAAATAAAACATAGGATGTTTTGTGCAATTTTACTAAAATACAAGAGGGTGTTATATAATTTACCCTTCTTTTTTTATAATCATTTTAAGACCGTTCTATTTTATTTTTTTTTAATAATTAATTATATTATATATTATTTTTCTTCTTTAGGATTATTTGGTTATTGATTTGGTAAATTTTTTCAATCTTTTTAGTATGATTGCAATTTAAGTTGGCGGTTTGCGTATTCAATCTTTTCCATTGCCTTGTGTGTTTTATTAAAACAAAATTGCTAAAATATTACAAAGGGTGGAGTTTTTGACATATTAAAATACTTAATAATAATTTACAAATTGTTTTTTCTTTTTAATTATTTCAAGGATGGTCCGACATAAAAATAAAAAATAAAAAATAAAAAATAAAAAACTAGATTAATTATATAATATATATTATTTTTCTTTCTCTATCCAAATCTTAATTCCCTTTCATTCTTATATCGGTTAAAATCGAAATTGAAAATGTACATATAAAAAATAAAAATAAAACTAAAAAACACTTTATCACCAAAATTTGGATAAAAATATCTTAATTAACTATGCAAAATCATGACAATTTTAAAAATAAAAATATATTATTTATCTAACTCTTTCCAGGCTTTGGCGAGTCACCTGCTGTTGCTGGTGCAGCTACTTCATCGGGGGTTAGAAGTGGAGGTGACGGTAGGCGGGGGTCAGACGGACGCTTCCGCTCCTGCAGCAGCAGCGCCCGATCCATCTGCTCCTGCACCGGATCCATCAGCTGATTCATCCCCTCCTGCACCTGATTTATCCCCTCCTGCACCATAAATCTCCTGATTTATCCGCTCCTGCACCCGATCTATCTCCTCCAACAACTGATGCATTTCTATTGGTGCTGTTGCTGGTGCAGCTGCTGCATCGGGGGTTAGAGCTGGAGGTGACCGTTGGTGGTGCTGGTTGTATTGTTGGTTGTGCTGCTGCTGCTTGTTGTGCAGGTGTTTCTGCTGGTTGTGCTGCGAGATCATCGTATAAATCCAAAAAATCATTTGACAAAAACGATAACCAATAATATTGATCGGCACGAGCCATATGCATCCAATCGCAATACAAAGTGGAACTTTGTACCGCCAGTGTTCAAGTATAGTTCGACTGAACAAACCAATATAAATAGACCAAATGGTGCCCAGTGCCAAGACATCTACCATCTCTAAAAAATAATGGCATCTCTCTCGCAATATGGTAGCGCAAAATAGCAGGCCATTCCCGAAAAGCAAGCCAATCACCAACAATAAATCTATGGGTGTGAGCTTATGTTTCTTCCAGGTCAGGAAGAATAAAAATACGCACACTACTAGCATTGAACTAAACACTCCGACGTTGTGTTTACGTACGCCCGCTACGATCGGATCGGGTGGAGGTAGACAAGTCCTCTGACTCATCTTCTTTGTCATCTTCTTTGCTGCGAAAAGAATGCACATCAATAACATGCATATACAAAAATAATTACCAAACAACCGTAATTGAAAATTCTAAAGCCTATCGATTAATCTTCAAAACAAACAATTAGAACACTCTCATAGAAGTAGATATAATAATTTAAGGGTCACATAGTAGATGGAATGTAATTCAAGTATAATTCCATAAAAAACAAACAATTAAAACACTCTCACAGAAATAGATATAATAATTACGCTTGCAGAACAAAACGCTGAAGCTTCTAGTGTTCTGTGCAAGAGTTGAAATTGCAACCCAACTATCCAAGTGCCTAACCCAAAACAGTAAAATATCCTAAAAGATTGATTCAATTAAACTCTGGTATGAATCAATGGATTGTTTGTACATGTAAATACAGCTCCAAATTATCAATCTCACGACTCCAACAATTAAAATTTAGGGTTTCAGATACTACCAATTTGCTGGACTGGTCGTGGACGAAGGTGCTTGGGCGACGGTCGGCGGCTGGGCAGAGCACAGCGGTGGCGTCGTACGGCGGCTGCTTTCGTGCTGTCGATTGAGGAGGAGAGAAATTGCGAACCCTAACAAATCATGTGTTAATAGTGTTTTTAGGGGCACGCATTATTTTTTAGTTTGATAGGATTTGAAATCTTATCATCACATGCTAAAATTACGTAAGATTTATAAATTTCAAATCTAATTTATTTTACAGATAAATTGGAGTATTTAAATTATTTATATTTTAATTGATATAAATTAAACTTGTATATTTATTTATTTATTTATTTTTTTATCAAATTGAGTTGTTGCAATAAATATTTTTTTAATAAGTATTAAAAATACTACATATTCATCTCTAGAGTTTATATTTATTTGTTGCAGTTAAATTTATTATATTAAAATATAGTACAAATTTATTATATTTGTGTATATAATATAAAGAAATATTAAATTAAAAAAAATTAAATGTATAAAATTAAAATACAAATAATAATATATAAATAATAAAAATAATTTTATATCCAATTAATAAAAATATAATCGGATTCTCTTTCCATCTAGTTCGATTATATCTTTTTTAAAATATCTAATCAAAATATATATTTATACAACATCATATAATTATTCAATTTTAAAAAAAGAAAAAAAAAAAAATTCAAATCGCCGTTACAACCACACAAGGGTTTAGGGTTTCTTCATTTCGTTTTTAGGGTTTCAGAACTTCTTTTATTCTTCTTCCCCAATTTGTCGATGGAGGTAGTTGAGGGCAAGTCAGTGTCGTTCGCGGATGGGGTGGTGGTGTCTGTGCGCAAGAATGGATTGGAAAAGGTGATGTTGACTTGGTCGATAATGATGGTGATATTTGAAGTGGTTAGAGCGGTGGCGATGAAGAAGATGGGAGTGGTGGAAGCGGTGGCGCTGGTGGGACTAGTCGCCGGCGGCACGTTAATCAATTTGTTCCGGGAGAAGAGCAACCGCTTGGGCAATGCAGCCGAACTGTTGGGTATGGTCTTGGTATGGATCTCGCTTAACGGATACGTGGCTTCGTTTCCATTCGACTTCGGACACCTGAGGTGGCCGATCACTATTTTGTGGATTTTGAGTATACTTTTGTGGTCGCCTCTTGTTGTTGCATCCGTATCCCTCGTTTTATTGTATTTCAGATCACAAGAAGAATCTGCGTTAGAGAGTGTTTAAACACACTTTTATATGTCTTTTTTTTTTTTTAGCTAAATAATTAGCAATTAATAATATATATTTTGAATCTATATATTAATTGTTTGTTTTGTAGTGTATGTTTATTGATTTGGATTTGCACGATGATGGTGATTTGTGTGAGTACTTTATGCTATCCTTTTGACATTAATTTTAGGGGTTTTTAAGTGGAATCAGGAAATATGGATACGAAGGATGATGATGCATTGGACGTGAGGTAAAGAATAATAAATGCTTGTTTAGTAATATGTTTTTTACTTATGTATGTTCATTTAGCTTTGTAGATTCTATCATTGATTACCACGGTGGCCGTAATTTAGGGTGTGTTTCTTTTGATTTTTTTGAAAAAAAATTAGTTTGAGTTTGGTATGAAAATAATGTTTGATGAGATGTTTTGTGAGAAGAAAAATATATTTTTTTCGGAAAATGCAAAATTCAAATAGTAAAATTTGAAAAAACTTTGCTATAGAAATAGACCTTAAGTTTCTTCTGGTTGAGTGAAAGCTAGAGCAATGGAATCCTTGTGAGTGTGGAACTTGACAATATGATCCAAGTTTATCTCCTAGCTATTTCTGTGCGTTTGTGTGTATATATATATACACTTGTTTTAACTAGTAGGATTGGATTGAATTGAATTGTGTGCAAAGTATTACCAAATTAAACTAAAACTAAAGCTAAAACTAGAACTAAAACATAACCTCCCTGAGAAGATTGTGGCTGAATTATATTGCTTAGAGAAAGCACCTGAAGATTGTGACCAAGAAAACAACCAACTAACCACTACAAAGCCACAAAACTAAAAAAATTATTTTGGATTTTTCGATTAATCACTCACATTAATAATCAACAATATAAAGCAGTGTGTGTTTTTTATAAAGAAGACAGGAAAAAAAAAATGATATTCAAGTCATCAAAAATAGTAATTAACATTGCACATCTATAGATCAAAAATAGTTAGTTATTTTATGATGTATATATGAAATGATAAGTGATATTTTTATAATTGTATCAAAAACTTGAACACCATAGCATATCCGGCTGGCCTGAGCTCTTGAATGTAAAATTTAAGATATGTATGTATATATTAGTATTAGTTAATTTCACTACAAAAGAAATCACAAATTGCGACGGAATTATTCCGTCGCAACTGCATATTTTTCCGTCGCAAATTCATTTTGTGATGGATTTTACATCCAAATGAAAACCGTCGCAAACAATTGGTTGCAATTCATGAACGACCAACCTGGGTTCCGTCGTAAAAATTGAAATGGAAGCTGCAATGGAAATTCCGTCGCAACATTGAAATGGAAGCAACAATGGAAATTTTGTCGCAACATTGCATTGAAACTAATCTATTGCAAATTCCATCGAAATATTGAAATGGAAGCTAGAATGAAAATTCCGTTGCAACATTGCAATAAAATTAATTTATTGCAAATTCAGTCGCAACATTGAGCAACTTTGCAATGTAATTAATCTATTGCAAATTCCGTCGTAACATTACAAAAAATATATTTGTTGCTAAGTTTGTCACAACATTTAGAGTACATTCAAAGAGAATAATTTTGTTGCTAATTCCGTCGCAAAATTCGTATTCAATTATTTTGATATTTTTTGTCCGTTTTTCCAAAAATTCATATAGCTAATATTAATTTAAATTTAAATGAGTCTAATTAACCACATATTATAATATGTACAAAAAAAAAATTTGTATTAGCATTGTCATTACCAATATCAATCAAATGTAAAAGTTAGCAAATATCATATAAAAAAATATAATGTCGTAACTAACAAATCTGTAAAGATAAAACATCACGATACATCACGATACAGGAGCACTACCACCATCTGAATCTGGATCGCGCCTGTGAATGGGTGGTACTCCCTTACGTCGTAGTTGCTCCATGATGGTCAAATTAAGATCGTATATGGCTCGTTGCTGATTCTCTATATTTGTAACACGTTGTTGCATAAGTTCCCACTGACCACATCCCTCCTTAAGCTCTTTCCTCACCTCACCTAGCTCGCACTCCATTTTTGTCAATCGTGTCTCAAGGATGGATGTGCCCGGAGTACAACCATCACAGATCGAGGATGATGGTCGATAAGAGACAGTCTCAGCTAATGATCCTAATCCATAAATGCGATTCTTTTTATCTCGTGGTACTACGGTAAGAAACACATCATCTGGATTATATGACGTATTGTCCTGCTGAGTGAGCTGTTCTACAACAACATTTACCTCATCCTGAAAGTATTTGATTGAATACCATATTAGTTTTCAAACAAAATCACAAACACACCTAAAATTAATACACACATTTTTTAAAAAAAGAAATAACCAAACACTCAACTAATAAAATCCATCTAATAACAATAATTTATTTACTCGGTACCATGTTTCACTTAGGTCTAACCATCCAACTTAACCCACTAATCAACCTAAATATAAACATATCCCAATATTCATAATAATAACATATTAATTCACCTTCACAGAACATAGCATTATTCTCAATCAAGATATATTATTCATCTCACAAAATATTTAAAAAATACTAATAAAAATAAATATGTTAATAAAACAAACCAAATCCTATCAAATGATATTTCTTTTGTCATTCCTCTTCCATCCAAACTATCTATGGGTAAATCAAGGGTACTTACAGTTGGTCTCCTCAGTGCAGCTACCACCACCACCAGCCACTATGTTCCGGCCAACTCGAATACCATCTCCGATCACCACCGGCCTTCGACTGATTTTTGAAGGAAAATAACTAAAATCAGTACCAAATAATCTTCTCCTCTAAACTAGCCAAAAATTCTTGTAAGTCCAACTACAGCTCCCTCTAAGCATGTTTACTGTAAATAATTAAAATGGTAAAAATACACATACTACCCATGAGTATAGCCGATGAGAAAATCAATTCCAGGACAAAATTATCAAGCAATTCAGTAAATTTAGAATTGTAACATCATCTAACAAAATGAAGACTGCACTTTAACTTAAACAAGTCGAATCGCAGGTAGACAATATATTGTAACATATTGGGCAGTAGAAGTGCACATTTCTTGATTGACTCCAAATACCACACACCTTTCTGCTCACCGAGCATCGATCTATTCACTAGTATTTTGTTGGCAGTGTTATGGCATATTATGCAACAATTAAAATATGATAGCCAAGAGTCTGCTTCAATGGAAAAAACAGCTATGCCTAGTTTTTTACATTTAGTTACTTCATTGAGTATCGTTTCCTGACTAAAAAGACAACCGCCAACATTGTTCAAGAGGGTTTCATTCTGTTTTGTGCTACTGTTCGAAACTGAGGACGACTAATTAGATAGACTATACCGTGATGTAAATGAATTTCAGTTGATCGATTCCGTGTTTTTTTTTCCATAAAGGATGAAGTTCACGCTAATATCATCAGAAAGAAACCACTGTCCTTTCAGGGGATCGTAGACAAAGCCAGCCATCTCTTGGACCTGGAAAGTATAATAAAAGCATAAGTTATAATATCTCCAATGGCCGGATGGGACAGCTAATTGCAAGATGTAGCAAGGATTTATTTCTGACTTACAGAAATAGAAGCACGCTGAAGAATAAGGACTAGTTCCTCAGGTGTGAGAAAGCGGTCTCATGTGTTCCTTTTGGGAGCTGAAAGTTTTTAGTGTCAAGAAAGTTCAAAAAATTATGCTGTGTCATTAGATTTGTATTTTATTAAAATTTCAAAAACTACCAAATAACAAGAAAACTTCCAAGTCATTCATTCATGTAACACAAGATTTTATTAACATGCACGTAACATGTATGAATTAATTTTCAAACTACTAGCAAGACACGACTTATTGTGAAGTAAATCTGTAAGCAGTAATGTCATAATTGGGTGAGTTAAGAAATTGTTAAAGTGTATATAACTATGTCTTTCTATAGGATTTATCTAAGTTATGTAATAGGTCACACTTTTTAAGAAACTTCGAGGAAGGCATGGAAATATTGTCTGGTTGAACTAGAAAAAGTTATGGATGAGTACAAAGCACATCAAGATCAGGAATTCCTTGGAAGATCAAAGAAATGACAGCAAATAATTAAATAAATAAATAGAAACAGGAAAATAAATGTCGTCCGAAGACAGAGATCACAAACAAACAAGTTTTAATTAAGACATGCCCACATATACTCAATCAATATAATAAAGTAAGCCTACCCAATTTAAGACATATTCTGCAATGACAATGGCAGCCACATATGCTTTCATGGAGCGATTAATTGTTGAGATTAAAACAGCTCCACCACTGCTGGTCAATGCTGACAAGGATTTGCAAAACTCAGCTGGATTAGACACATGCTCGATTACCTAAGGAAAATGCAAAGTTTCAAATTTAACCCAACATCTAACAATTAGCAAGAAAAAAAAAAAGGAACATGATTTAAGTTGAATACGTCGCTCATCACATAACCTATTAGCCATGAGGGCACTCCGTTGAAATATTATAATTAAGCAATTAGAACAGACTCGTTAAATATTAAATTTTAGGTATTCACATGCAAAAACTTGTCATTTAAATAAAAACTAGCATACCTCTAGTGCAATTACAGCATCAAATTTCTTTTGTTCCTCCACCAATTTTTCTGCTCATCAGGGGAAAGTTACATCAGTTTACAAAGAAAATGCTCAGGGTTTCTAAGTAAATGGTCTCAGTAATGCAGCTACAGATACATAGATTAATAATCAGCTAGAAATCATAACAAGAGAACATTCGAAAATAAACAATGAAATAACAACAGCACATCAATATACACCATGCCATCAAACAATAACAACATAACAGATGAAATGACAGGTATCTGGAAAACAAATTTATTAAGCATCAATCTACACAGTCCAACACTCCGACCCTAAAAACAAAATGGGAACTAAAAGAAACATACATGTATATGAATTGCGATAAAAGGATGCAGGCTAAAGGCAGCAGATTCCATTTTATGAAAGCAAAAATAAACAAAAAGAATGCATGAACAAGGGCAACAAATGAGAAAATATCGAAGACAAGAAATTAACACATGCAGGTTGAGCTTTAACTTAAGTGCATAGAATAAAATAAATTGCGGTAAACACAATGAATAATTTTGACCTGATTACAACATGAGTTCTAACAAATTGTAACAAGGAGTGGTGAAATAAGGAATATACAGATTAGAAAGTAAAATAAGTAATAAAATCAATCAATAGGCAACAAATAAGAATTATATTTATACCAGCTGTTGTGCAACAATAATTGATGAAGTTATGGACACAAATACAACATACATACATCCACATACATTATGGTTTTCTGCAGTCACGAATCACAGATCAATCCTCCCTCGGAACCTTTCAAATTTCCCCCACGGCTTTCTTAATGTCCGCCTGAAATCAGCAGAACCAGAAGTGAATTTAATGTTTCATTGTTCTTTGTTTAGCACAGCACAGACAATACAATCTATCTCAAAGGGAAATATGAACAAACAGAGACAAGTCCCAAGACAGCAGACACCCACCTCAATTGCAAATGGTGATGTAGTTGGCCCGTATCGTTTGACTACACGTCCCTCTTTGTCAACTAGAAACTTGGTGAAGTTCCACTTGATTCTTGACCCCAAAACACCACCCTTTTGCGCTTTAAGGAACTTATAAACAGGTGCTGCATCAGGTCCGTTCACTTTTACCTTGTATAGGACAGATTTGATAATAGTTAGATGAAATGTAAAACTGCAAACTTCTGATACACACACACACACACACAACCCCCAAAAAGAGCTAGGAGAAGTAATACAAGAATTGCATAATTATTATGTATGTTATGTAGCCTGGACATCAAATAAAACTTGTAAACACAATGCATCCATCCATCCATCACATAGGTGTAGTGCACTGCTGATTATTCCCACTACTTATAAATCACTTCACGTAAAAAAAACATGGGCAAATTACTACTTTCTTTGACAAGAAACACATTTAAAGTCCCTAATTCATTATTTGCATAATTCAGATCATTTATTAAACTGACTGACTGACTGCTTGCTATCTTGCAGATCAGATCTCTCAAGAGTAGTTCTTTTTTTTTTTTTTTTTTCCTTATCAATAATGAAACATGGCATGGCAAGGTAACTCACTCAGTCACTCGCTATCTCACAGCATAAACACTACAACATTGCAGAATTCTTCCATCAAGTAGAGGTTTACACCTAGTTACTTACCTTTTGAAAGATGGGATACTCAGCCTTGAATCTGGTGCAGGCAAATTCTTCAGCTTTCTCGCTGGGTCCGGGTTCTTGGTACAGAAACTGATTGCAGGGGAAGGCCAAAATCTCGACCTCTACAGTCCTGATGGGTGCTCAGAACAGAACAGCAACAACATTAGGTTAGGGAAGAAGAATAAAAGAAGATAATTCAATTGGAATCGAAAAATTGGAAATCAAAACCTTTAAGATTGCAGCTTATTACGAACTTAAGGACAACAACAGGAATACCCCCAATAATGACGAGAGCATTGAGCTTCAAAGCAGTGCATGCATTAAAGGCAGCATTCACTTGTTCAATTGTTCTAATTTGATCTTTGGTTCGTCCCAGCAAATCATAGCCACCTTCACAACACAAATTGAGAAGTTTAATGCGATCTTTGAATTTATTAATCACATATGTGTCAAATATAATATGCAGATGTAAATGTGTACCTTGATTTTTGTAGGTGGCAAGAATCTCATCAGAAATCTCTAAAGTTTTCTGAGCAAATAAGCCATCAGAACCACCTAGTGACACATAAACATAAGCATATTAATCATCACAAAAAGAAAAGGAAAATGGCACATCAGAATAAGTACATAAACAAAACACTGACTGATCAAATATACAATTGAAAATTGCCCATCTTTGGATGTATGTTTTCTTCTCTGCTTTTTCTCTTTCTTTCATATACAATTGAAAAAATATATATATTATAAACAATAATTCAACCATTACACTCTAATCAAATACTATAAATAAATAATCTGAAACTAAATGAATAGAATTGTGCTCAAAAATTGTACAATGGCACGCAGTGAGTTCTTTTGCTAGCAAAAGTTCAATTATCATGAGAAAATCTTGTACAAATTTTAAGGCTTGAGTAAAGCTCTAACCTGTTTTAGATTTAATTTATTCAAAACAGTGTGTCTATAAATAAATCCTAGTAGGTAGTGCACATTAGTGTTGTGACTTTCACTTAATTGAAGATCTTTTGCATGTCACTTAAAGCAAAGCAGCAACTCAAATTTCAAATCAATGGAAAAGCAAATCTGACCAACAATCCAAACCCTATTTGCATTTGCAGCAAGCAACTTACAACAAATTCCCCAAATATTCTAAAAGAAGAAGAAGAAGAAGATACTCATTTCTGTAAGAAGGCTGCTGAAAAGGCGATTCGAAAGCTTACCACCGAAACAGAAAAGAAGTGAACGCAGAACAACGGCATTCAAACAATCCAAAAACACAAAAATGAAATTCGATGCTTAATTGTTTTTATACATTAATTACATTGTTGTGGTTTTTAAATTTACTTCTCCGTACTATCGAAAATTATAAATGAAATCCGGAAAATCTTTCAAACAAAACCTAGATTCAAGTTCAAGTGAAACCAAATCCTCAAAAAATAACAAACAAACAAATAAAAACTAAATTGAATTAATGATAGCAACAACAATGGAGAGAAAAAAAAAATTGTAAGTCACACCTCATGTTATACATAAGATTTTCGAAGAAGCGAACAACTCTGAAATTGAAATTGCGGCAGGACAATGTTGGCGAGCAGTTGAACCACGGAAGAAGGCGATGCCGGTAGTGGTGGTCGAATCAGTAAAACGACGGCTTAGTTGGCTTTTGGGAGTGGAATCGAAGGCGAAATCGAACGCGATGCTGGTGGTGGTGGTTGAATTAGTAGAACGACGGCTTAGGCGGCTTTTGGGAGCGGAATCGAAGGCGATGCCGGTGGTGGTTGAATCAGTAGAACGACGGCGGCGGCTTGGAGTGGAATCTATGCGGAATAGGCGATGGCGGCGACGGTGAAGTTAGGTAAGGAAAGGGGGAAGGCAAATAAATTTTATATACAATAATTATTATTATTATTATTATTATTATTATTAGTTGTTTTAGTATGTACGGATATTATATGTAAATATGTAAAAGTATATATAATAATAATATAATAATATTATTAATATTAATAAAATTTTAGGATATAATAATAATAATAATAAATAATAATAATAATACAAAAAGAATTTTTTTTTTTTATTGCGACGGAATGTATATCAATTGTAAAATTCATTGTAAAATTGCAACGGATTTTTTTATTCGTCGACTAAATTGCGATAGAATGTATATTAGTTGTACAATCCATCGCAAAATGTATGACTAAATTGCGACATAATGTATATCAGTTGTACAAGTTATTGCAAAATGTATGACTAAATTGCGACGGAATGTATATAAGTTGTACAATCAATTGCAATATTGCAACGGATTTTATTATTTGTCGTATAAAAATTTAAAATTTTGATATAATTGTATATTTTTCGACGGAATATATTTTCTTACATAATCCTAAATTTCGTCGCTAAATTGCGACTGAATAAATTCTTTTGTAAATTTTGTCACTAAATTGCGACGTAATATATTTCCTTGTGAATTTTGTCACTAAATTGCGACCGAATATATTCCCTAATGAATTCTGTCACAAACTTGCAACCGCTTAAATTTGTCACAATGTTACGTTGCAAGAATGATTAATTGCAATGGACTGCATTTACCTTTACAATTTCCATCAAAACGTTAAAACAGAATGCAAACTCTTGCAAAATTCCGTCCCAACTTACAACTTTTTTTGTAGTGTTTTTAGTTTAATAAATTCTGATAATATTTTATCACATCTATATTAAATATATGATGCATATTTTAAATTTATTATATTATAAATAAATATCAATTAAATAAATAATCTCCGACAAAAAAGGCACAAATTTAACAATTTTTTTTTAAAAATGATTTTATTTATAGTTTTCTTATGATTGATCTTAAAAAATAAATAAATAAGATGATAGTTGAATGTGTTATTTTATAAAAAACAATAATATAAGTAGTACTTTTGGTAGATAACAAAAATTCAAACCATAAACAAGCCCCCTTATTCAAATTAGTTAGTTTTTGTTTTAGATTGAGATTTTTGTAGTTTAAATTTTTTTAAAACAATAGTTAATATTTAATTTGATAGGAGAGTAAATAAATATTTAATTTTATATTTTCTGAAAAAATAGTATAAAAATCATCCAAAAATATCTATATAAATAGAATATTGATTTAAAATTAGGGTAAATCTAATCATAAAAGAATTGGTTTGTGATTTTGGTTTGAATTTCAATTTTTGTTTAAATAATATTTTGATATAATATTTTATTAAAAAAAATAGTAGGGATATTATTGTGAATCATATGGGCTAAATAATATTTATTTTTATTTAGGACAAAATCAATTATAAAACATATGCGTTTAAAGCTTATCAAATTTTGCTATCTCGAAAAAGACACTTCTTCTCTCTTGAGCTTTTTATACTACTTTGTCTACGCTAAAATATTAAAAGATAATAATATTTTAATATAAGAATTAATAAGTAAAAAGTAAAGTAACGTGATAAATTTATTAAACAATAAATCAAAAATAAAGTGAGATATTACAATAAATTTATTAAACAATAAGTAAAAAATAAAATGAAATTTCAATGATGGAGAAAGTAATGATTTCTTTTTGAAAAATCAAGATTTTATAGAAATTGCAATCGAATTTGAAGATAAAAATATTAATTGTTTTTATGAAAAATTATTCTTTTGTATTTAAAAAAATAATAATTTGTTTCTTGTTGTGGGGGAAACATTAAATAAATAAATAAATAATTACATACTACATACATTTAGGGGATTGTATTCAAGTCTTTTAAAATTTAGAGGTATTCAATCGAGATTTTTAAAAAGTTCATTAAAATCTTGAGATATTCAATGCAGACTTTTAAAAGTTTTTTAAAATTTTGAGGTCCATCCACAAACTTTTAAAGTTTATGGATTTCATTGGATTTTAATGGACAATTATAAAAATTTTGTGGACGAGATAATGAGAGATTTTGATGGATTTTTAAAATTATTATTATTATTATTATTATTATTATTATTATTATTATTATTCTTGTTGTTGCTGTTGTTGTTGATAATATATAAGTGATAAAGAATATGATAATATTTATTAATATTATTTTAAATATTTAATAAAAAGTAATAATTTAAAAATAAAATATACTAATAAATTATTATCAACTTTTTTTGAAAATATGTATTTTTATATTATAAATATAATATTTGAAAATTACTACTATCATAATAAATATGTATTACTATTTTTTTTTTAATTATCGAAATACATTGTATTGTCGGTAAAGTTAACTTAATATATATATTTTTTTCGTTGAACCGTTAGTTATATTTATTTATTTTTTTACTTTTTAATTTTATTTCTTATGCAAAATTGTAAAATTTGTGTTTATATAAGTTTATATAATTATACAAATCAATAAACAAAATATTTTACAATTCTACAAAATCCATATAAATCCATAAATAAATCAAATCAAATTTATAAAAATCCATCTAAATCAATTAATAAAATTCATCAAAGTCTGCATTGACTCTGTAGATTTTCTAAATCCACATAAACTTTTTAAAATCCAAAAAAATCCAATGAAATCCCATATGAATGTACCCCTTAATTTCGAAATTACCATTTTGATCTTGCAATAATACCACCCACCACTTCTTCTATCACTTCTCATTTCATTTCATTTCTTTTTTTATAATAAAAAATTAAAAAAATAATTTTAAAAAAATATACTACAAGTATAACTATAAATTACGGTAAATAGTTTGAATCTCTTCAAAAAAATAAGACTATTCAATCGTCCATGGTCATTCATAGGTGAAGACGACCACGTTTCATCAGCAAAAATAAAATAATATAATAACAGTTAGTAGTACAATTTTTACTGTTTAAAATTATTTTTACTTTTATTACATTGAAACAATTTTTTTAAAAAATATTATTTTTATAAAAATTTATCCAAATATCAAATCAATTTGCTTCTTGTTTATTTTTTAAACTAATTCAAAAGGCCCTAAATAGCATTGTTACGTGGTTGATAACTTGTTCTCTATTTATTATATATATGTATATAAACATTTATAAAAATTTCTAAATTATTTGTACAAATAATTTTATTTGTTACAAAATCAATATAAAGTCATAGATATATCTCAATTTTTGTGATTAATTATATTCAGGGCGTCTCCATTAATATTGCTTGTTTCAATTATTTTAAACATATACACAATAAAAAACAAAACATTCATTAAATTTATAAATTAAAAAATCTTAATTACAATATTTGTATACTAAAAAATTTATAATTATAGTAATATACCAACTTCAATCAAACTCCAATTTACCGTACACTACAAGAAAAAATCATTTTTGTAACAAAATGTTTTTGTTTCTAAATCTACTTTTTCCGTTACTAATGACATTAGAGACGGAATTAGTAATAGAATTACGTTAGCTACGTGAACTTTAGGGACGGAATTCCGTTACAAATATATTATTTTTTTGTAGTGGTAAGTTGTCTAGATTTATTTTTCAAGCGGTTTACACCGTCGATTTTGATTTGTCAAAAAATTAAATTAAAATTGAACATTCTTAATCACAATTTTAATTCCACCTTGACGAATGCATTTAATACATCTCCAACAATTAAATAAATACATAAATAAATGTCCACGTGTATTTGATTTCAAACACTTG